GACGGAGGAGGAAGCGAAGGCGGAAGCGTCGAAGGTGCTCTGGTGATCTGAAGCGGAGGAGGGGCGATGACCCGAGGTTGAGAAGACGCTTCCGGCAGCGGCACGGTCACCAATGGAGGACGGGACACTGGAGGTCGACCTACACACAAAAAAATTAAGCAGTATGATTATGAAAGTTTCACTGTTTTGTCGTACTTTCGAAGACTCGCTTAGAAGCGCTACTCATAGGTTCCGTTTTTCCTGAAGGCTCAGGCTTCGCTTCTGTCGACGCCGGTTTCAACGGAGCTTGATCTACATAAAATACGTATTATATACCAAAATAGCTATGATTTATAACAGAGCAATGATTATACTGGTCATGAAATATGTGTAGAGTTGATGGGTGACGAAAAAAGAGCCTGCATCTACAATTGTCCAAGTAACTCAAAATGCAGAGTTTATTTATCGGTGATTATTCTCGCTTTTCGACTGCTTTTAACGCTACAGAAACTGAGACGATCAGCTAGAATCACAACATAGGTCATCTCAATCATTAGCATTGCCAACAGAACCCAGGTCACTAACAAAAAATCGCTTATTACTATTCACTACTATTGCTCAGTTATTGTGCAGGTTCAGTCAGACCTCTGTCTTCCACTGTCCCCAAAACACTGCAGCTGCTTAATGGCCAAGTTAACTTGCATAATACAATAAGGTTAATTCAGTGACTCTTATACCTGCTAATCGGATCTTGTAAATCAGTTGCCTGGATGTCACCTTGGAACCGTCGGCAACGAGCAGCTCCTCGATGATACCCGACGACGATGCCGGAACTTCTATATTGGTCTTGTCGGTTTCGATCTCGGCGACAACCTCGTCTTCCTTGACGAAATCGCCCTTCTCTAAACAACACGGTACAAGCGTAAAACGTAAACGGGATTCACAGCTTAAGACAGACTTTTTGTCCATCGGATGTCCCCCTCTGAAATTGACTCCGGAAACGTGGGCCCTTCTACGTCTACTATCTTCCCGTTGCCTAAAAACGAGAAATACACCAACAGTTGTGAAAAATGAACGAAACTACATGAACTATAAACGCTGAACGTTGCTTACATACAGAGACGGTAAAGTGAAAGCCTCGAAAGGGCAGGCCTCCAGTTGTTGACGAAACACGAAGTGACCCATATGGGCCAAGATGACTGACCAAAGTTCTTCGCGAAGCCTTAAACCCTGAAAAAATATGCAAAAATTATAAAAAATCCACTGTGCTTTCCAATCTTACAAAACACATACTGTTAATTTCAGTGTATTGGTCATTACTTTAAACCATTTGATTATGTTACTTTAACTTATAAGTTAACCCACACGATGCATAAAAAATCCCCTTTCAGGTAGGTGGTTATGGAGGAACGATGCAATCTGCGAAAAATTCCAAAATACAATGATACTGATTTAAAAAGAAGCTCATGGCTTATATTCTGATGACGAGAAACATATTTTAAATGGATTGTGGGTATCACAGAACGAATAATAAAATAAATAAGATAGTTAGGACAGATGGCATCTGGTGGAATGCACTGGCAATTAATTAATTAATTTCCATAGTGTGTAACTGTTAAGCCATCGCTACATAAATCCTTATATGGTTGTCTGTGAGGCGACGCGACTCCTAGATAATAGATTCGCTTCGTCGGTGTGATCGACCACCGTGACGTCACCATCAATTAAATGATGACAATTTTCTAGGACGTGGGCACCCAACCTTGGACAACCAGTCCTGAATGTTCAGCAGTATGGCTCAAAACGACTCGCCAGCATTTAGTTACTTTAGTTTTTGCAGATCTACAAGTCATGCTGATGTACATACCTATCGTGATTAGTAAACATTATTCGACCTATGATGCTTCCGCTCTCAAATGTGAGACAAAATCAGGCTTCTTATAAAACAGGAATTTTACTATCCTTGAGAAATGCAGATTAAAGCCGACAAACATCTTCGGATATGCTTGGCACGTAAGGTTCTGATAAATTAGGGAGATACAATTGATTAATGGGGCCCACAAGCACCATAAATTAAGCATAATTATAATTTCCCATATTCCACTTTAAGAAATGTTGACAATAAAAGCATAATGTTATCACGAGCAATCGGTCATCCGCACATTAGCTGAAAACCTTGACGCATGCATTTCATGATATTAATAAAACAAATTTACCAGTGCAAGACAAAGCACTAACATGGTGGCTAGGAATCAGAATTTAAAAGTATGACAGGGAAACAAGATTAAGACCTTAAAATATGTTAGTTTGATTTAACCTCAATGCAGAAAACTGAGCAGAGAGATATTAAAATAATAGATGAGAAGAGCCACTAGTCCAGATAACATGAATAGTAAGAGCAAGTGGAATCCCTCCCAACTCAAAATTTGTGTGAACAGAGAAACTTTTACAGACCACCTATGAGACAACACGGTCACTGTCCGCCGTTAGGGTTTATTCGATGAAACAGGTTCATTAGTCAGGCGTAAGTTACTTGATTTTGTCAGTACAACCATTTAACCGAAAAGACACATAACTGCATCACTTACAGCACAAAACATCAGAAGACTTTCTTTAGACAAAAAGATAGGGTATTTAGGAACCACCACCTACCGGCATTTGTATTTATCTTTAACGAAAGATCACATCTGCTGAAGAGGGGATAACGTATAGAATGAAACTTAGTAAATAAGTAGTCTGAAAACGCAATTTTTATCATCGTCATTAGACATTTTCGATTAAATATAGGATGAATGGCTTCGGAAGACTTTACCACAAACCTTATTTTGTGATTGTCATCCACTGTGATGCAGTGAACTTCTTCAGTTCATCCTTCATCGATCTGGAGTTCTTCCTATGAGCCTTTTACCCAGTCCTAGGATCCAGTTTAGCGTCTTTCTGGTCCAGCGATGGTCGAATCTTGCAATGTACCTTACCCAACGGCACTTCCACTAATTTGCTCACGCAGAAACTCTTGATTCTGTCGTTACCGTTTATTTGTCTACCTACCTTTTCTTGTTATTCCAACAGACATATTTAAATGCTGTGTTGCGTAGAATTTATGAACAGATTTCAGGCTTAGGGTCCACGTTTTGAATCCATGAGTTAGCAACGGAAGCACACACTGATCGAAAACTTTTCGGTTCAAGCAAAAAAGGCAGTCTCCCGGATAGGAGCATTTTCAATCTTTCAATGACGCTGCTTGTGATCTTTAGTGTTGGTTGATTTTTCAGAGTCCATTCTCCGCTCCAGAGATAAGCTATCCCAGACACGCAGTTTTACACCTCTTCGCAGCTAATAAGCAACTAAGCAAACATTAATCACGACGTAATTCAAAATGTGATACGGTGAACACAACGATCGCTACATCGCTACATGAAGATCTGAAGTACCGAACTGGTAGATACGCCCAGTAACATATTAATCACGTCTACCCACCTATTAATCTGTACGTTGAGCAGATGCCGCCTTGAAATTTTCTTCCAACGTTCGTGCTGACCTAAAAAGAGTAGTGGAACCGACTGATGGAATATACGCTGAATATCACTTACATATTTGGACAGACACCGACAGACCTGCAACGCCATGGCGAACTTCATCGGGAATAAAACCGTTTAAAATATCCACAGACTAGAAATACTTTTTATTTTTTACTAAAAACAACATATACAAATTGTTCATCAACGGTAGTGCCATAAAATGAGCAGTCATCGCTCAAACAAATGCTGCCACGCAATTTTTGACATCTGCACTGAAATTACAACGGAGCATGGCGTGTAGCCGCTATACGCGAAAAATACCTCGGTAAGACTAAAGCAGATTTAGATACTAATATAAAGTCACAGATACAAGTTGACCCTCTTAAAGAGTTCCCGCAACCGTCTAGAAGCAAGGGGTCGACGTAAGTCGCGGTATAACCAGAACTGATGATATCCATTTGTCTTGCACTAATTCCATGCATCAGTTTTCAAGTAAAAACTAAGAATTCCAACTGATTAATTACAGTTTAAGTTATCGAATAAAAAATATTCAACTAAAGGTACACCAACTGGAACAAGTTTCTTCAAACCTGAAGGAGGAAGAAACGAAAGTTACATTTTAAGCATTAGCAACGAAAACTGTCTGCGTAAGAACGGCGACGAAGCGAAGGCTATCGTTCTCTGTCAATTTAGTGTTCGACGGTTATCGCTTGGTGGAATTTTACAACGATTAAAAGTAAACATGAAAAAGCAGAAAAATGAAACGTCCTAAAATCCGCACTGTTTTCCGGTCAATCACAAAGTCATCCGCCCGCCCGCCGTCGTAAAACGTCAAATCAACGCGTGGGTTTTGAGGATTTGCAATGCGAAAGTGAAAGAAAATCAAAATCAGCTGGAGGAAAATCGGTAACTCATGAATAACATATACGTGTAGCTGTGTTAAGAAATTCATCTTCGTAAGTTACAGGGCATAATCAATAAATTCACTACATCTATGAATGATGACCACCGGAAAACGATCCCGATGGGAAGACAGTTGGCTGGTAAAGAAGAGACTTTCCTCTATATGCATACATGCTTTATCTGACTAGCCACCAAAATGTGCAAGAAAACAAACGAAAAGTTTGTAAGGGTTTGAATGCCGGTCTTCATTACCACTGTTTCACCATGGGGCTATTTTCGGCGCCGTTTTTCTCACAAAGTTAATGGTGCAACGTTCATTTTCATTTCCATGCAGCGAATCATGGGTGCCGTATTTCAAACGCAGGTACGTGGATAGAGCAATGTGCGGTTGCATGTTTTCTACTCACACAATGGTAGCTACTCATTTATCGACTTAGCAAAGAAGACGAGTCTTCTCGACCGCAGCTTCAACCCGGAACCTCATAGTTTTGAGTTCGACGTTGCACGACTGAGCAACGCTAATCAGGAGGTGCGGCCTACATCGTCATCTTAGGTCAAAAAAGCTTAAGCAGCATAGTTGTTCAACAGTAAAAATGCGTGCAATAAAACAAAATCCAGATGTGTATGCTGGCTTAGGAGACGGGTATTTAAACAACGAAGCTCTCAAATTCAGTCGATCAGGCAAACGTGGTCAATGATACAGCATGACAAAATCACAAATCGAAACTGTAAAATACTTCATATATAACAAACAAAACTAAGATAAAACAAACCTTTAAAATTATGTTAATTACAGCTAATAGAAAATCTGGTTTACAGGATGTTTTATGATTGACCAGTTCTGACCTTTTGCGGTCATTCACAATAATAAAACGAAACCAGTGTTAACATTTAGACGACATTTGAACATGATTAAGGAGTGTCATAAAGAACAAAGATGTGTTCTGAACAAAAGAAGGAAACGCTAATCGACGAAAGTACGCTGCTAGCTTAGCCCCTAGAATTTGTATGATAAGCACATGTTGACATATTCTGTCATAAAGATAATCTACGCACAGCTTCTCTACTGTCAGATCGAAAAACAAAAGAGAGAATTTGCAGTTTATCATGTACAAGCCAAATATGATATCAAAAATCCAATATTCTCTACAAAACAGATCATGAAAGTCTTGGGGGATCACGGCGATGAAACTGCATCATTCCTAACGGGTAAATATAACGATTCTACGCTATTCGGCTTTTCAACTTTGCTAAACTTAGAAAACGACGAAAACAACAGATAATAATTCATGGCAACTATCCTGTTTTCAATGGACGATAGCCCAAAATTACTTCATACTGTCTTTGTAACTTCGCCGTTGCCCATCCAAAGTCCGGATGAGAAAGAACCAGGGAGGCGGACTCTGGCGAGGTCCCTCGTAAGACTTAGCTAGTTGCCTCTCACGGTACTGCCGTTAATTATCATTGTATCGGTTGTCAGACTTACGACGCTCTGTAATGGATTTTCGCATTAAGAGAGATGTAAAGCTGTGAATCGAACAATACCATGTTGTTGGTACCCTCCTCCGTAAACGATGCAATACCATGCTAAGATCTGGCACTAGATAAAAACTGAAATCAAAGAATCAAATGGAAAAAATTATCTGCGGATAAAAGAAAAAACTTACAAACAACATGGTACAACGGTTTCAACAGCTGCCAATGATGACTGCTAATGCAGAAACCAAATGGCTTACTAGAGCTGCTGAAGAATAATGTGGTTTAAAATGGGTTGGCCTGCCAGGTGGTGATCGAAAACGAATGGCAAACAAGGCATTTTGACAGACCATCCGCCGTGTCAGCCATGACATGCTTTGCTCGCAAAAACATTTGCGGATTTGATCGATTCCAGCAGCCCTGTCACTTTTCAAGCATTATAAAGCTTCTGTGACTTCATATACTGAAAAACTGCAGCTACCTGCTTGCTTTCAGCTCTTCAGTCGAGTCTTCCTGCGGGTGCTCGTGATTACGGAGTTCCTCCAGGTACTCTCCCTATTGTGTAAGTAAGTCCTCATCCTTGATGAGAGGGCCCTCGGGACTTGTCCTTCTTTCCATCTCAAATGCGGCGGATGGGATACCAGAATACTGCATGCCATCTGAATATTTGATATTCGCTTCCAATATCTCGTCGAATTTTTCCTAGTAAGCAGCTTTAGCTTTGGCCACTGATTCTGCACAATATCACACTGAAATTTTGTCATTTAGGAATTATATTCGACAGAACATCTACCGGAATACAAATATATATATTGTGATGCCTATGCTGTAGCATATTAAAAGTACCGACTTTTAAGATATTCTAGGTAATAAGCGAGCAACAGATTGCTATAGCGAACAAACTAATGCGAGTTTCATCTAGCACTGCAGTTGATCATATAGCATGTAAACGCAGACTGTTTTTGTGCCTCGCCAATGGGAAACTAGAAGTTGGGGAAGAAGCAACACGCCGTGAAATCTGCTGTTGATCGAGTTACGTGGTATCCAGTAAATAACATTGTACATTGGAGATATAATACATGTAAATATGATTAATGAATACCTTTAGCACAGAGGCAAATGAAGATCGAGAAAAATGTGATGAAGAAAATGAAAAGAGGAAAAACTAAGAAAAACTAAACCAGGAATAGGACAAAGAAAAGCAACAAAAAGATAGAAAAAATGAAAAGAAAGAAAAAATGCGAAATAACAAGAGGAAGGGAGGCAAAGTTAGGAAAACAAAAACAGAGACTGAGGAAGTCACATTCTCTATGTAAAACAGCAATAAATAAGATATGCTCTTACGAGGAGAACAAGCAATAGAAAGATCTTACCTTTGCTATTTAATTACGCGCTCTATAAGGCAGGTACTGAATATCTGACTGACTGTCGATCTTTTATCACATCTCAGACTAAATACTTAACTTCATGGCATAATCTGGATTACTTGGAAAAGTGACTAGTTCACGATGCACAATGGTCAAATTGAAAGTAAAACTCAGATAAGCAGTTCCAAGATTACAACCAGATGAGCTAACCTTATTTTTCAAAGTCATACAGAATTTCAGCAAGGATTCAATTCGTTGTAGAATCTCCAGAGCAAGTGGCAATAGCGTTCTCTTTAACAAAGTTAACTGTAGAAATTCTTAATGGCTAATCTACAGTTATATAGACATACGTCAAGTAACAAAGATTTCCCATGATCCGTATGTGATCGCCATTTAGATTCTGCGCCAAAGCCGGGCTTTGCCCGGGGACAATAAATGGAATAATATGATTTTAAGTTCTTTTCACCGATTCTGAGAAGGAAACACTTTATAACGACTGTCAGGCTACCTGAAGGAAATATTTTCATGTATGCTATGTCAATATGAAATCAATCTCTTACTCCACTCCATTAAAACTCAAGAAACAAGAGTCCAATTTTCCAAGAATGCATGAACATCGTGTTCTCGCTCAAAGTGAATCAGCAACCGATTGCGACTGACAGCAGAGTTACACAAAGAATTAACTATAAAAATAAATAATTAATTTTACACCACCAAATAACCAATTAAATTTTGCTTTAAGGAACTCTGAAAATACGTACGTGTGCTAGAGGTACGCCTAAACACGCGTCTTCGCTCAGCAACACTACGAAATAAAAGTCAACAAGACGTTCCAGTTGAATATTCAGCAAGTGGAGGAAGGTCGGCAAAACCTCGATGCTTGAATGCTGAAACCTGTCTCAACGTTCGGCTAAACCAGATGTACGAATAGGAAATACAAAAATTAAAGAATAACCTCTAGAACTCAATCAGAATTTGTCAAAGCTATATTTTCACCCGTTCCTTTCTCAGCGAACAACATGATTGCAGTCTGGGTGCTTCGATCAACATCGTCAATGAACCTAATCATGAAAACTCTTGGAGTAATTACGAATTTTGTGATATATTACGGCGTAGGAACATATTTTGGTACTTGTGCTATAACATACAACCAGTACTACTTCCTGAAGCACAGTTCGCGATGGGTACGAGGTGGTTCTTGGGGATAAAATGATGTGAGATGCACATGACAGTGCAGGTACTCAAATACCATAGAGCTCTTATCCGCTCGAATGGCCTCCTAGGCAACGAGAAACAAATCGACAGCACCATAGGCCATGAAATCCGGTCTTGGAAGAATCACGTGTTATCGTGATGTGACAG